GGCATTGAGTCCAACACCTTCCATTGAACTACAATTCCAGCCTATTTTATTGATAGCATTTCATTTCAAGGCAAGGTCTTTGCATGTCGCTGCCTTGTATAGGCTGTGCTTAATCTCTATCTCGTATACAACAGGAACAAATATTTGTGGTGTGATTTTCCTGTCCCGATTCCCAAAAACCAATCTAATCAATGTTGTGTTTATTTTCCTTGAATGATTGCATTTAACCCTGAAGTGATTATTCCTTATCCCCTATCACTGAAGTCACTATTGACTATCTACCAAAAGAAGAAATATAAGTTTAAGTGAGAAGGTGTGAAAGGGAACACTTGTACCCTATTGGAAATGTAAATTAGTATAGCCATTTGGGCAGATAGTGTAAAATTTTCTCCAAAATCTAAATATAGAAAAAGATGATTCCATGGCCCCAGGAATTAAGGAATCATCCTGTTTTTGAAGCTTAAAAACATGAGCAGTGTTCAGTAATTAGACTGCAAATTTTGATATAGCCATTTTACTCCTTGCTATATCAAAACCTTGAACTTAATATGTGGATCTGATGTGCATGGTTATGTGAATTTTGGCATTATGCATGATGACCAAGATATGGCGGCTGCCTGAGTGTTCACAAATGGGTGACAGTGTAAAGAAAACATGGCAGATACACATGCAATGCAGATACACTGACAGTAATGTGGATGGAACTGAAGCCATCACGCTGAGCAAAATAGGCCAGACCAGAAAAACAATACCAAGTAATCTCACTTTCACAGAGAATCTTAAACAGTTTATGTCATAAAAGCAGAGAGTAGAAAGCTGGCTGTCAGAGATGAGGGGAAGACAAGGGGAGCAAAGGGGGTGTTGATCACAGGGCACAAAGCTTCACTTAGACTGGAAAACCGTTTTAGAGGCCTCTAGCATCACACACCAACCACTGTATTGTATGTATCAGAGTCACTAAAACAGTCGATATTTAAATTCCTTACCACAAAAGAGTGAACAGTTATATCGCAAATATTTATATTCACTGAATATTTATATAGTACAAACAAAAATCAAGACATCATATTCTACTCCCCCAAATATGCACAGTTTGTACAACTTTAGGAGTCTTAAGCAATGAAAAAGGAAGAGAATATTGTGTCTAGTCAAAACTGATACAGTGGTTAAACCATAAAAAATACCTCACACTGAGAGGCCAGGGAGATAGCTCAGTAGAATAAGTGCTCGGCCGGCAAGCACAAGTTCTTGAGTTCAATCCCTGGTATCACAAAAAAAAATACTCATATTTACTCATATTGACGTTTAGAAGAGTGGAGTGGAGGCTAGGAAATGCATCAGCCAAAAGTTCCTCACAAAAGTGATTAAATTCTAATTGTTGGTCTGGGACATAGTCCCTCAAGAATTTAAAATTCAGTCCAAGGCCCTAAAATGGAAAAATCTCCAGTGACAGAAATTTCTCTGGGCATGCACTCATCTTTTATTTTTCAAATCTATTAAAAGGGTGAATTGGATTATAGCATTTCTTATTTGTAGTTATGAAAGGAGACTGATTTTATCTCTAGGAGTTGTAGTGTTTTGCACATAAGTATCAACTTTTTTTCCCTTTTGTAGGTTTTATTTACATGCATATCCAGAGGAGACACGCATTAAACAGTTTCCATCCATCCACTGCTTCTGACTTTCCCTCCACTGCTTCTGACTTTCTCTCCACTGCTTCTGACTTTCCATCCACTACTTCTGACTTTCGGTATGCTTTCTCCATATGCTTATATACATAGAGTCCATTTAGGATGATAATAATATAAGGTATAAAATTTTGAGTTAATTAAAAGTTATATTAGAATTCCTCAGATTTAAATTAAAATTGTGACCTACTAAATACTTTGATAAAGTTAAGTAGAGAGTCTAACATTTTATTATGAAATATTTTATTTTTCAAAGTACCATATAGTATTAAAACAGAAATATTAAAAATGATGCAGAATTTCACTAAGCAAAGCAATATGAATATCTTTATTTTCACATGGGTATAAATACATCTGAAATTTGAATTTGAAATTAATCTGTAAAGTACATGCTTACAATGTAATAGATAGACATTGTAAGCAGCTGTCAAGGTCAGTTTTTTTCTTTGTGAGTTTCTTCTCATCCAGAAAGATTTTAGTTGGAGGGAAAAGGTGAATTGTTAGCCTGCAGCGAGCGCCAAGGTTATGAACACTTGTTCTGCAGCTTCCCAGCAAGGCCTTCCTGCTGAGGTAAGTTCCGGCTCTGTCAGGATCCTTCCAGACGTCCTCCCTTCACATTCTCCTCTTCCTCCTCCAAGTTTATCAAACACTTATCCCAATTATTTACTCAATAGCATTTGTGAAACACCAATTGGAAAATTATACATACAGTATGTTAAGTACTTAGAATGTTTTTATGTTGTCAAGTTATAATTCTTTTGTTAGCATAATTTCCATACCTTAGTAATGGAATAATTACAAAATCATTTTTTGTCTGTTGAGCAGACTTTTAAAATAATGCTGCCTAATTATAATGATATGGTCATGTATAATCTTTATTATTCTCCGTCCTTCGACATCTCAGTGCTTATATAAGTTTTAACAATAAATTTTATCTATTAATAAACTGATGCCCAATGAAAGAACATCATAAATTATAGCAATTTGGCAGGTGTGAATTTAAGAAGATTTCCAACAGCTGTACATTGACTTGCTATGTGCTAGGCACATGATTACACCCCCAAATTTTCCAGTCTCAGACCTGGATTAGATTTACAGTAGATTGAGTCAACCTGGATTCTATAGCATACAACTGGCCAGAATTTATCAAGGACTGATGGTACATCAGACACTGATCAAACTGCTAGCTAAAATTTCTTATATAGTCATCAATGTAATCTCATGAATTAAGTGCTAGCCTAATTCTTATTTGATACAGGACAAACATGAGCTTAGAGTAATTTAGAACTTTCCCTTAAGTAATCACACACAAAATCATGGAGTTTGAGTTCATATTTCATATTTTCTTGTCTAGAGTCTGTGCTTTTGACTCATACACTGTACCGCTTCACCCAGTTGTCCTGGGAAAGGGAAGCATTACTAAAACCCAGCAACATGAATGCTGTCTGTTACATTTATCTAAAAAGAGATAAAGATTTAATAACATGTTGGAGATAGCAGCATATTCCCTTCAACAACTGATGTATATTAAAAAGATTAGAGTTAGGTTTTGCAAATCCTGAACTGATGAGAAACATTGAGCCTGGATAATTTGATTAAAATATTTTAAGTTTCATCCTGTAATTTGCACCATGGAAATATTAGTTATCCACATAGTACAGTAGATGCTTAAATCCTGAACCCAGGGTTTAGTTCTGGACAGATAACCGACCTGAAGGGGAAGCACATTCTGCATTTTCAGCACAAAGTTGCATTGGATTCTAATTTTTTTTTTCTGTTGCATTAGATGCCTTTTGAGTATTAGACTGTGTATGTATAGTTCAGAAAAAAAAAACTATTAGAGAACAAGTGACTTAGATTTATTTTATACTTTAACTAAGTTCATGGCTACCTCAAGAGTAGGTTGTCTCCATCCAAGTTTATAAACGAGATAAGACGTTGTGTACTCTCGTAGGAAGGGGACGGAGCGGACACTGGCAACTGCAGGTGGGTGGGCTCGGCAGGCTGTGGGCAGGCGCAGCCACAGGAGCAGCGGGGGTGTCTGCGAGGCAGCTGTGCCCCCAGGAATTACGGGGCAGTCCTGTTTTTGAAGTTTCAAAATGTGAGCAGTGTTTGGTAATTAGATTGCAATATTTATATTCCTTGTCATCTGCAGTTTTGTATAAATACATATGGACATAGAACAAAGACTATTTTTTGTATTATCCTTAGTATTTATTCAATGTCAACAAATTGCTTCAGGGATTACTGACATACGTCTTCTTTTTGAGGGTTGCTAATAATTCCTGTTCTTTGCATTTAACATAAATCCTTAAATGAAGACCACACGGCGTTCTGACAACAGTTACCAGGCACTGAGCCTTCATTTTCTCTGCCTGGCCCTGCTGTTATGTTGTCTCATTTAATCCTGCTGTCAGCTCTCTGAGCTTGGTTCCATTTTGGTCTCACTGTGCAAATGAGGAGAATTAGATACAGATTGAGAGAAAGAAGAGAGAAACTGAAAAGTGAGAAAGAGGAAAGAACGGACAAGTGGGTAGAGCAAAGCCTGCCCTTGCCTCTTGGTTTTAGAACTGCTAATATTTGGGCATCCTCACGAGCCCATATTACTCTAGGATGCTCCTTTTAAGTGCCATGAAGTTGAAAACAGTGAAACTTACTGGCCTGGTCTTCAGCTGAGGGCACAAAAGCACAGAGAGGATCCCGAGGAGCTCTCGTAGACAGACCTCCACTTCAATGCGTCGGATCCTTCTAACTACTGATGTTTTGCTGAAGTCGCTGTCCTTAGACAGCTGAATTTCAAAAGTGTATCACTTCACGCTGCGTGCAGTCCTTGTTTAAGATCCTTTGACCACACCATTTCATTTATTCCTTAAAAATCCTTAAAAAATACTTATGTTGTTCTTTGCATATTTAACACTTGGAAAGCATTTCAATCACATCATAGGAAAGTCGAGAAACTTGGGTTCAGCCTGATTACTATGCAGAAACTCAGGGTGAGATTTCTCTTTTCCTTCTATCTTTAGCTTCCAAATTGATGTGTTGGGAACTTAATCTTGCCTATAGGTGAGTGGGCGATTTTGGGACAGAGCACGGGTGTGGAAAATGGATAAAAGGAAACTAAACTCTACTGTGACTGAATTTGTGTTCCTGGGGCTTTCATCTGAGCCTGAGGTGCAGCACATTCTTTTTGTTCTATTCCTGCTTTTCTATTTATTAACGGTGGCTGGGAATGTCATCATTATCACAGTTATCCAGATAGATCCTCGCCTCCAAACCCCCATGTACTTCTTCCTCACTAACCTGTCCTTTTTGGATATTTGCTACACCTCCACCAACGTCCCCCAAATGCTGTCCAACATGGCGGGGAGGAAGAAGACCATCCCGTTCTCCAGCTGTGCTACTCAGATGTACTTCTCTCTTGCCTTTGGGATGATTGAGTGTGTCCTCCTGGGTGTCATGGCTTACGACCGATACGTCGCCATCTGCCACCCTCTGCACTACACTGTCATCATGGACCCACGCACGTGTACCCACCTGGCAGCCATTTCCTGGTGCAGCAGCTTCCTGAGTTCCATGGTCATCAGTGCCCTCACCCTGACCTTGCCCTACTGCGGGCCCAACGTCCTCAATCACTTCTTCTGTGAGGTGCCCTCGGTCCTGAGGCTGGCTTGCACTGACACGTCCCTGACAGAACTGGTGGTTTTTGTCTTCAGTATCTTAATTGTCTTCATCCCTTTCCTGCTCATTGTTGTTTCCTATGCTCGGATTCTTCTATCTGTCCTGCGGATGCATTCCGCTTCCGGCAGGCACAAGGCCCTGTCCACCTGCGCCTCCCACCTGACGGTGGTGGCCCTGTTCTACGGCACAGCCATCTTTATGTACATGAGGCCTCAGTCGAAGTCCTCCCGGGCTGGAGGCAAGGTTATCGCCGTGTTCTACACTGTGATCACACCCATGCTTAACCCCTTGATCTATAGCCTGAGGAACCAGGATGTGAAAGGAGCTCTGAAGAGGGCTTTTGCAAAGCAGAGAGTGTGAGAGTCCCTCAACGGCCACAGTACTTGCCTGCTAAACTGATGACGTCATCTTCTGAGTATGAAGCTGGAGAGAAAACTAGCCTGGCGCCTCACAAAGACATCCGACGTTCACCTACAAAATCAGCAAGAAAAAAATGTCTCTGTCAAGGCCAAGGCAAAGCCTTAGTATGTCCAACAACTGCCCTCCTTGCAGGCTGGAGCCAGGGTCATCACGGTGTTCTGTACTGTGGTAACATCCTAGTCTCTTGCCCAGAGTAATCTCAGTGACTCTGATTCAGAGAAACCTATTTCTGTCCCATGTGCAGAACTTGACAGGAAGTTTTTAGCATCTGAGTTTTAGCGTTGGAGTTAGTGTTAATCTCTGCACACACATTCCTCCTTCAGCATGGGTCCATTAAATACTCGTGTACTTTGATTTGACCTGAACTCTATCCACTGAATTCTCTGACAGCCCATTTCTCTTTCTGTTTGATTAGCCAGTTTCATTACACAGTCGTTTTTATCATTTTTATATCCGCCTCGCTGCACCAATGGTGACCATTTTATATATTTGCTTAGTGCCCGCAGTTTTATTAGAAAGATGAACAATTTTTTTTCTGAATAACTTATTTAAAGTGAAAGATAATATTTAAAATTCTCCCTGACATTACCAACTAAGCCATCTGTGTATACTTTAGAGACTTAGCACTATTTTTGAAAAGGGAGTTCATAGAAGTATACAATTTGGAAGATGCTATTTATAAGAGTTTCCTCTCACCTCTGCAAGTTGAAAAAGAAATCTTGCAAAATCGTTCTCAGAAGGCCACATAGAAAGCAGTGGCAGTGAGTACTGTGTTCTTAGCAATTCATTATTTGTACCAACTACCTGAGCAGCGCATGCGCTTTTGACTAGTTGGTAGTTTTTAGTCATCCGGATTTGAGTGAACTAAAATAAATACCGTCGAAACACCTCTCGCCCTAAACTAAATGTCATCAGAGACTTCAAGCAAATTTGATCTTAAGTCCATTTCTTTTGACATAAAATGAACATAAAATATTTAGTATCATTAAGTGGGCAATTCTATGAAATAATGATGATTAGATATAAACTAGAGGAAAGTGTTATTTCTGCACTTTATTTAATATCCAATTACATAATTCCCTTTTTGTATTTATTTGGGGTTATAGTAATATAAGGTCATCCTGGAGAGAAAATGTACTACCACAGTTTAGCAAAGGTGTAGCGTAAACAAATTACAAGGTAGTCTGTTGTCATAAACTACATATTCTCAGTGCTTGACTGATCAGTGTTATTGTCTATTATAAGTGACTATAATTAAAAAAAGAATAATTGTAATATCAATGTTCTAAATTAACTATGCATATGTGGAAAAATTTTATTTTTATGAACCTCAGTTCTTCTACATATAATTTTCTTTTCTCTTTTTATTTATATATTCGGTACAGGGTCTCACTGGGCAGCTTGGACTGGCAGTGATCCTCCTGTCTTCAGCCTTCCCAGTGCTGGGATTACAGGCACACACCATCACGCCCGGTCTCAGTGGCTGGCTCAGTGCACCAGGGTAGGGCCAGCACGGCATGTGGTGCCAGGGATCGAACCCCGGTCCCTGTGCTTGCCTAAGCAGGTGCTTAGTCTGCCAAGCTATCTTGCCAACCCTATTTCTTTCATTTATAAATAAAGCATTTGTTGGGTAACACGTTTGTAAGTCTAAGAGTCATGTCTCAGCATTTCTTTCAGCTCTGAAAATAAGCTTTTGATAAAAACATGTCAAAATGCTTCTTCAAAGGACTTTGTTTTTTCACTGTTTTTGTTCACCTGATAAAGGACAATAATGCAATGATGAAAGGTTCCAATATCTGCCCTCTGGTATGTAGGGTATAATACACATGGCTGTGCTTCATCCTCTTACAACTATTCCTGGTCAGCGTCTTTCTGTTTAGCAGAAAACATTTGTTCAGCCTCCTAGTTAGAAACGGTGAGGATTTTATAATAGTGGGCAAAGGGATTAGTTCCATAGTGAGAGCAATTTTCATTTATTTATTTATTTATTTATTTATTTATTTTTTAGTACAGGGTCTACAGGGTTTGCAGGCTCTCCCTATGTAGATGGGACTTGTAATGATCCGCCTGTGTTCAGCCTCCCATGTGCTGGGATTACTGGCGCTCGCCACGGCACTCAGCCTCAATACGAGTCTTAGCATGCTCCAGGGGTGGGGCTGGCACATGAGGGATGGAACCCCAGCCACTGTTTCTGCCTAAGCAGGTGCTTTAATCTGCTGAGCTACTTGGTTGGCTCTGAGAGTGGTTTTCTTTAATTGGCTTCACTTTCTCAGTATGGTCTAAAACAGGACAAGTATCTTGGATGCTATCATTTACTTGGTTTCCTTGAGTAGTTTAGCTTTTCTCACTTCTCCAGCCACCTGGCTTTGCAATGGCTCTGCTCACTACGATCAGAGGCAAAGGTGAATCTTTGAACCAGCATTGTCCTGTTCAGTCCCGCACAAATACTGACTACCAAGTCTAGTCCCAAACACAGACCAAAGACAGCCATGAGTCCAGCATCTTATAGAGGTGTCTCTGACTTCTTCAAGTTCCCATCAGACTGTTAATTTCTACAGTACTATTCATTTCTTTATTTTATAAACTACTGGGTAGGAATCACAAAGTTTTTTCTAACTCTGGCTCTACTGCGTGTAAATCGAGAGCACAGTGGTACACAAGACTTTCCTCATCTCTGGGAAAAGATGTCTGACTAATACAACACTTTGTAGGTGGCTCTCTTTCAACATTTATTGCTTCTTCCTGTGTTACAGGGTATTTGGATTTAATTTATCTCCTTATAAGTGTAGACTTCAGGAGTCCAGATACTTATTTCATGTTATTCATCCATTCTCAAACACAGCTTATTAGAAAAATTCTCACCTTAGATCACAGACACATACACCAATGCAGCCCTGGTCCGTGGCCCAGATGCAAGCCCAATGGAACACCGCGTAAACTTCTATAACTCCAGCATCATAGTTGTGGGCAATAAGGTCACTTATCCTTGTTCAGGGATCTTGGCTGCTCATGTGCACAACATCTCCAGTAGGTTTCCTGAGATCCAGAGCTGGGTCTAGGTCTCCTTAGCAAGCGTCTATCATTCATGTGTTCAGTGAATATTCGTTGCTTACCAGCTGTGCCCCAGATATGAGAGTAAAATGATCCTTCCTCAAAGTCTCAAACTCTCCTCAGGAAGCAAGCGCATTGCTGTGGGTGTGTTCTAGAACTAGTGGGGTCACATGCATAACAACTCTAGTCACCATTTGTTTAGCCTAATGTATACACACACACACTTTATTTTAGTTTCTCATGTATTTTAATGTGTGAATGAGAGTGCTTTTGAGAGAGAAAGGGGACCTTGTATTTATTCTGGGGTATCTGGTAGACACCCAAGTGGACTTGGACAAGGCGTGCGCTGGCCACAACACTATTATCTTATGTGGTCCACGTGGCAACCCTATACTGTAGACACTGTTTACACTAATTTGCATCTTCAAAAATCCTGGAGAGCGAATCCCAAATTGATTTATTGAGAAAGTAATGACTGACAGGTATTTTAAGATAGAATTTATTTTACATGTAGATCAGTAGACTTTGAGTACAATTAACCTGAAAGA